CGAGGCGGCGAGGGCGGCTGCGGCGGCAGGAGCGGATCATGCGACCAGATGCAGACGGAGGAGGCAACCCGAATGCAGGCGGGGCAAGGCAGCCCGGATGTAGGCGGAGAAGGACGAGCAGAACACATTTCGTCCGGAGCACGACGTATTTCGCTCGGAGCAGGCGCCCGTCCAGTGATCCAAAGCCAACCATCACGCTCGGACATTGATTTCATTTTGGCATGTCTGGTTTGTTAAACTATGATTTGCTTTGCTTTGTTTCAAACTGTTGAATTTGGACAATTTGTACTGTATGATCAACATGCATGAATTTGATGATCGGCATTTGAGGTATGTGAATGTGAAACGTAACATATGAAGGATCGGCGAACGCTGTCTGGTGGACGCGCCTGGACATCCCGCGGGCATATGGGGGGTCGGATTTGCAAGTCCAGCTGTAGACCGTGTGCACGTAGTGGTAGTGCAAAGTTCGAATACGGGTGACGTTACCCGGCTGACATGGAGACCCAGGAATCTTGTATCATGGGTTCCCTGTCATACTAAGTCATCCCAGCGCAAACATAGGAGCATTATTAATCGGCACACTGTCTTAATCACACATCCCACTTGGTATCTTAATCATTCGTCAGAATATTAGCAGGGACGGCTCGTTTCGCACAAGTTGCCCTCTCTCTGGGTAGTGGCTGATGATCGCCCCGTCGGCGGACTCCTTTCCACCGGTCGCCGGGCCAGCAGCAGTGCAGTTTCAGCAAGTTGCGAGCAGCATACGTACGCATCCTCGTAGTAAAAGTTGACCAGCAGCGCCCGTGAAACTTCCTCCGTGACTTTCAGAAAGAAAGCCAGTCGCCATGGATTTTGTGGTAATATCTGCTTGACAGCTACCGCTAAGTCAAGGCTGGATTAACTCGCTGATTACTGGTCACTAATGAAGCCTTGCCTTGATTAATCGAGGCAGCGCTGCACTGACTCTGTAGATGCCAAAAAGAGGCAGAAAGAGGATCCAGTACTACTAAAGTGCAATTTAAAGAGAGAGAGGTGGAAAGTGCAATTTGCGCGGGGAAGAAGACAGGGCGAGAATCCGATTGCGATCCCTCCAATGGCGGGGCGACAGGCAGCGTATCCGGGCGTCACATGGGTGTGTGCAAGACGGCGACATCCTACCCCACCCCGCCTCCGCCTACGTGCGTAGGCCACCAGAAATACAATATCGCGGCAGCAGGCCTGTCAGTGAGCACAGTCCCCTGACCCTGAGTGAGCACGCCCTACCTATAGGAGAGGCGTAAACCTAGCGGCAGTCGTGCATGCATCGATCTTGCATAGAATACAACTTTGTGAATTGCAGAATGTTTTGTTACAATGCCGGAGAGGATGAATTTGGTTTTACAGAGCCATAGAGTTACCATAGGAATCCAAACAAAAACTTTCGATCTATATTTATCAATTGTCATGACAGTATAAAGTTTGTAGACTATCTAGCGGCGACGAGCGAGTCGAATGCACATCATCGTCATCACCCCTCCCTCATTGCTAAGACCTCACAGATTAGCGCAGCAAATCAGCATATCGGTGATGAAGAGAAGCATAAATCGACAGTATTCAGAAATCATAAACTTGACTAGTGCGTAAAACCTTTTACCCTCATGAATCTGAACCATTGGGTAAAAGAAAATATCATCTGAACCATTGGATACTTGCCTACACGCACAATCTATGTGGCATGAAAGAGAGAATCGCCTGCGCGCCTGCGTAGATACTAGATGGACGGATATATACTCCAAATGAATCAATCAATCATGGATGATGATGCAACTTGCAGACGATATGTCATGTGGCCTGCAGGACGCAGCCGTATGTGGGAGGAATATATCCGTCTATTAAAAACTCGTCGACCACGTGTGACGTGGATTGGACGGCCTGCAGCATACCCTGGCCTACAATGATTTCTCGGCCGAAAGACGAAAGCGGCCATTGTTTCAGGGTCGGTCGATAAAACTCGCTCATTTCACTCGATCAGCTGCCGCCGCTCCGCCGTCTTTATCTTTACCTTTTGTCTCGAAATCATACGTTCAGCAAAACTTACTTTATCCTTTAAAAAAACTTAGTTTATGTTATTGGGCTATATATGTTTTCGCTGATAAAAATATACAGAAAAGTATAGATGCGGAAGCAGAAACAAGGCCTGAAATGGCACTCGTTTTTTTGTTCTTCCTTTGTGGGATTTGAAATGGCGCTCCTGGTGCTGCAATGGTATGGAGAGAGATGATCGAGAGGGTGAACTGGGCTAACTCATTTCATGGGCTGCATCTAGCCCTTGTGGCTACAAGATATGCCCGACGGGCTTCTTCGACCATCCAACATGACCCTGCCTGTGGGGAGCGGCTATCTCTCGCCCACAGCAAGACATAACCACGTCTCGCCCCACGGACGTCCTAAATGGGCTGACCCAGCGCGGGAGGAGCGCTACTCTCCAGCGCACATTTTTGGTTTTATTACTTTTACTTATACTTTTCAAATAGAAAAATATTTTCTTAAAATTTAAAAAATTATAGGGTGTTCTAAATATGTTTACACAATGTAACATAATGTTTATGTATTCATGAAAAATGTTTAAGTATTTCAAAAAAATGTTTGACAGCATTCAAAAAAATGTAGGGGAAATTTTTAAAATGCTCACATTATTCGAAAAGAATGTTCGTGACAATGAAAAATGTTTATACAATTTACTTTTTTGCATAATTAAATTTTTTTCCATTGAAAAAATGTTGACTTTTTTGACATGGTACAACCAAAGTAGGTCATACACAAGTATGCACTCACCCCTATGAACGCATGCACACCCTACCCTATGAGTAACTCTAAGAGATTGAGCCAGCACATCATCAATGTATGTTGTCAAAAAAATTTAAAACAAAATTCAAAACATTGCTTGAGATACAAAAATGTCAAAATCGACATCAATGTGATAATGGGCCTAATCTAAAGCCCAAATTATGGTGTGTACTATTTACTCTCAAATTTGTCATTTATGTTTCTCAAGCCATGTTTTGAATTATGATTTCAAATTTTGTGACAACATACATTGGTGTTGTGTCTATGTGCTGATTTTTTTCAGAATTTTTCGAACATTAAAAATTGTGCTACCGAGTTTGGAGCACTGGGATCACCCTAAGGGTGGGAGTACCGGATATTCTCCCTAGTGAGGGGAGCTGTTGAAGCGATCGAGCAGGGAGGTGGTGAAGTGCTCGCCTCAGATGGGCTGGGCCACAAACAAGGTCTTGTGAGCGCCCTTTCCTCCATGTGGAGCTGAAGGCGCCACTTAGGAGCTCCCCTAACGTCTCACAATAAGCGATAAATAGATCCTGCACTGCCTTGGGTATTTTATAGTCATTCACGCTGCTCCTATATGGCCACTCACATTACTGTGCCATAAGTACCATTATTAGAATTTTGTTTATAGAATTTTTTTGAAACATATTTTCTTACAAAGTTTGGTAACATGTTTAATAAGAATTGAAAAAGTTACTATTTTCTTAAACTTATCTGAGAAATGGTCACCACGTATTTCATAAAATGTTCATTGTATGTTAAGAATTATTCGTCCTGTACATGAAAAATATATTCATTGTGTGTTTGAAAAGATTATAAAAATATTAAAACAATGAATAAAAACAAAGAACCAGAAGTAAACCAATGAAAAGGAGAGATTTTTTTTGAAAGAAAACAAGCTGTTGTACCGATAATATAGGTGAATCGCTAAGATGGGTTGAGGTCGACCCATAAAAGGGGTGAAGCACATCTTCCCTACTATTTAACGCAACATGCGTCAAATATAGTTTATCGTTACTGATATGTTAATAGTAGCCATTTAGGCCTGATTTAGATCAATGTTTTCTTTTAAATCTCAATCCTGACAAAATAATAGCATTGGACTCCGTGTGGAACAATTTCCCTCTAAAAGTCCTCTTGAGACTTTATATTTATCACTGTCTTTATGTCTATTAATCTTCATCTTGGAATTATATAAAAAATGATAAATTTGGATTGTGCCTTCATTGCTTCAATAATCTAATAGATTTCACATAGAAGTTTACCAAATTCTAGATTTTATATTTTACTTCCTTGTGCTACGAAATTGAAAATCATATTATTTTTCTACTAAACGACCTTTCATACGATGTCAACATGCCAATATTGTTCTTTCGCATTGACAATGGGAAAATAAGAATATCACTGAACGGTCGCAACGGAATGTCTCGTCATCTACATGTCTTAAATGCAAAACCGCACCAAGATATTACATTTTGTCATTGAGAACACTCCAAATTTCTTGGATCCATGAAGAGCTGCGAGATTTCCAAATTACGGGAATAGAAAAAGTAAGGTTCCGGTGCCCTCTCCTCTCAAATGTTCAAGATTTTTTCATGAAGTCTCCTCACCTGATGCTAAAAAATACTTAGAAATTAGGTCAATATGGACCCAGTTGTAAGGAATCCAACATCTCCATTCCTACGAAACAAATATCATACATGGAAACAAAATTTTGAGGGTTGAAATTCTATGAAATTTTTTAGAAAAATCTTGCGGACCGGATGATCCCATATTGATGGCCTTTTAAATTTTATTTTCAAACAGTTATCAATGTGGTGTTTTCTTATCAAGGATACTCAATGGGGTGTTTTCAATTTTACCCTCCATTGCTTGGGTATTTTTATTTTATCTGCAGGAGATGTTGATGGGGTGCTTTTATTTTATTTGCCAAAACAGATGTTGGTGGGCAACATTTTGTAGGAGATATTTTTTTTAGGGATGCAGGAGATATTAATGGGGTGTCATTATCTAGGTGGATCCTCCTCATCCTAATCCATTCCCCTGCTTCCCTTCGTCCTGTCCCCTCCAAAAACAGAGCAGCCGATTAACCGACGCACTCCACCGCCCTCCCCTCCTCGCCTCCCCGTCCCCGGAGCGAAAAAAAATCCCCAATTCCCCGGCACCCGACGGCAATGTCGCTCCGCAAGCGCCAGCGCTCGGCGAGCAGCTCCCGCCTCTCCTCCCTCTCCTCGCCGGCGTCGCCCCCCCGCCCCGTCGCCGCCTCCGCCTCCTCCCCGCCGCTCTCGTTCCCCGGCGCCGACCTCCTCCTCCGCCTCCACCTCGACCCCTCCTCCGACGACGCCGACGCCGACGTCAAGCCCGACCCCGCCGCCTTCCTCGACCTCCACGTCTCCTCGGCGTCCCTCCTCCGCTCGCGCTACTTCGCGGCGCTCCTCTCCGACCGCTGGTGCCCCGACCCGTCATCCTCCCCCGCCGGCCGCCTCTCCCTCGCGGTCCCCGCCCCGCCCTCCTGCGCCCGCCCTTTCCACGCCCACGTCGAGGTCGTCCGCCTCCTCCACACGCTCGACTTCGCGGGCACCATCCGCTCCCCCGCCGACGCCCTCGACATCCTCCCCGTCGCGCTGCAGCTCCTCTTCGACGCCTGCGTCGAGGCCTGCATCCGCTTCCTCGAGGCCGTGCCCTGGTCCGAGGAGGAGGAGGCCCGCGTGCTGGATCTCGCGCCGCTCCTCCCCGGCGACGAGGCCGCCGACCTCCTCGCCAGGGTCTCCCTCCCCGCCGCCGCCGCCGCCGCGGCGGGCGAGGCGGCCGCCAGGTCGCCCTCGGAGGCGATGCTGCACGGCCTGATCCATTCCGCCATCCACGGCCACCCCGTCCCTGCCGCCACCAAGGCGTTCGTGGCGATGCTGCTCAAGGACTACCCCTCCCGCGACTGCGTGCACAAGGTGCTCGACGAGGCGTTCCTCTCCCGGCTCGACACCGTCAAGGAGCTCCTGGGCAAGTACGCCAGCCCGGACTTCAGGATCGCCGTCGACAGCGACGAGCGAGAGGCGATACAGAAGTTGAACCTGCACTCGGCGGTCCTGAATGTGAAGCATCTGCTCTGGCTCATTGAGAGGATGGTGGACATGAGGGTGGCCGATAACGCGGTGAAGCTTTGGAGCGAGCAGGTTGCGCTTGCTGCTGACTTGCAGAAGTTGCTCAATGATGCTGACATGTGGAGGAACATGGCTCCTGGGCTCCCGATGCTTGTGACCAGATGCACGCTCAGGCTCGCCCATTCAGTTATGATTGGGGAGACGCTGGTTCCTCGGCAGGTTAGTCTGCAAGATGAGATATCTCCATGTTAGTCTATGATAGATGTTAGTACTTCTGGAAATATGCCATGATGCTAAGTGCCTAACTTCCAATATGACTTGATTCTGTTGCAAATCAGTCAGTGAGTTATCCATATGTGACATCAGATATTCTGGTATTGTCATGCTAGATGATTTGCTACAGTGTTCAGGTTAGATATTATCGTATCTAAGTATGTCTATGTGTGATTGTATATGTGCAGTAGCTTACCTGTGGAAATGATCCCATGCTATATTTGAATACTTAACTCTGCCTCGGCTTTTGCTATGATTTATGGATGGAATGCTTTCACAGATAGTGATATAGACATTTTGTTAAATCTTAGCACAAAATATCAATGAGTGTGCTCCATTCTTTATACTTGAGCCATGACTTGCATCTGGATACTCTGACATTAGGACATAGGTTCCAATTCCCGTAATCATCATGGTTTCCTGGTTGATTCTGATGTAGTTTTAGGTCACATTTCTATAAGATTGACAATCTGTATTTATGTTGAAGACCCGTCTAGAACATGATAAAATAGAACATAACTTTTTGAAGTATTAATGAGCTTGTGCTTGCACTAATAGAGTTACATTCACTTCTTTCACTAATAGATTGCATTACCAAGTTCTTATAGCAAGGGACACCCTACAAGGACCTGGAAGCTTGCATGTGTTTTAGGGAAAATTCTGGTGGAGTTTTGCTAATAGGGAGTTGATTGGTCGATATAGAAATATGTTTGTGGTGGAGAACTGGAACTGGTTAAGAGTTGAAAGAAAGGTATCTAAATAGAAAAATAGGTGGAGGACCTTGTAGAGGATAGATAGGCAGCAAAATCCATTCAGATGGAAAGCTTTAATGAGGATGAATCAAGATCTGGGTAATCCATGCCTTTAGGTGAATAAAAACTTTACTTCTGCAAATATCTGGTCCTTTAAGATCATCCACAGTGTGTTGAAAAGACGGTTTGTAGTGCCCTTCGAACTGGTTCGAGGTATTGGAGAATGGAGATAGTGAGCTTAGACAAAAGGTCCCCTTGAATTGAACCAAAGACTAGGTTTGGCTTGAAGTGAATACACCCTGTTTGCTTTGAATCGATGCAGCATTGGAGACGGCCTAAGATTTTCAGTAGTAAGACGTTGAGTGGTAATTTTCGAGAGCAAATGGTTAGGTGGTTCCTCTTCCCTGTTTAGCTTTACAATAGAATATTGTTAGTCATGCACACTTAAGTATTTTCAGCCAAGCCCAGTGGCCTAAACACATTTCTTTCTTCAAGCCTGCCAGATCCATCTAAACTATATATGGTCAAGGGCTAGCAGGGCCATCCAAATAAAAATAGGTGGTATGGAGATTTTTAGCAGGTCATCAACCGTCATCCTACCAGATGTCCTAAAATCAGAAGCACCATTTTTTTCGTATCAAACAAATGTAGGGTCGCACCCATTTTGTGATATCCTAAACTCATGAGCTAGTGGGTTTTGCTCTTGAAAACATCAAGAATTATGGGGACTTTCAACCCAACCCTTTCCACATGCTGTGTGGTGCCATTAGTCGTTCGAATCTTACAAGTGAGTTCGCAGTTTGCTCTGTGCACAATATTTGTGATATATTTAAGTTCACTGTGAAAACCGGTATTATCTGCTCATGTAGCCTTCTGCGTCTGTATCTGCTATATGAACTTGCTTATGTTCAAGTGTCATGCCTGAGCCTGCAATCTTTGATTGTATTTTGTCACACACCCATCTGCACCCTAATTTCAATTGCTTGTCCGTTCCTTCTTTCATCCCACCACCTGCTTGGCATTCAGTGTCCGGCCACTGCAATTTTTAGTTCAGCATAAAATTTGAGAAAACGGTCTGTCTCTGAATAGTTTGATGTACCGGAATGTGGTATTTCTTGTGTCTCGGCCAATATCTTCTACAGCAAAACAGAACTGGCACTTTGTATATCCTGGGCACCTTCTAGCTCTCTGTTGCCAAATTTCTTATAAAAGCTCTTAGATTGGAGTACATTAAGTTTGTGCTTATAGCATTGTTGTTGTATACCACTGGGTTTGGTTTCTCATGCGTCGCCTCTATTTCTCAGGTGAGGATGAAACTTGTCAAAAGTTGGCTTCCTGTCCTGAATGTCTGCAGGGACATCGCCCAACCTATGCACAGTGGATACAAATCGTCAAACTGCCAAGAGCTGGAGGAGACATTTCTTAAGATCATCTCCACATTGTCCGTCCCAGATGCTCAGGAGCTGCTGCAACAATGCCTTGGGTTCTCAACTCGCAACGTCGATGACTGCCAGCATTTGGTCACCGCCTTCAAGACATGGTTCAGGCGAGCTTCCAGGGATCCACAAGGTCCACAAGGTGGGGAAGACTGAGATGGAACTGACGCTAACGTTCTCAAGCAGCGTGCTCTGTGCCTCATTGTACAATCGAACCTGTAATTATCTGTAGGCCTCCTTGTCCTCGAATAATCTGAAGTTTGTTTAGCCCAGTGCCTATCTTTTGTATATAAAATCCTTGATTATGCACTAAGCCAAGCTATTCATCACCTTCTGAGATACTAACTGCCACTCTGTCGTGTGGAATCCATCTTATTTATGTGTCTGGGACTCTACCGTACCACAGTAGGTATTTATCCATAGATATCTATATCTAGAATTACTAGGCACCTTTTCCCCTTTATTTTGAACAAGCAAAGGCGCTCAAGGTGCCATTCATTTCTCTTAAAAACATTTTACATGAGTGATGGCATCTGTTAAAGCCTGGATCAGGGAAGGCCTATCAGTAGACAACATTGGTACTGTACATATGAACCTAGAACTGTGAGAGTTTGCATCACCCTGTTCCCTAGCTAATTTTGCTGCATTATGAGCTTCATTGTTACGTTCTAGGGATATGGAAAACCTGGATATGCTTCTGGCTGATGAGCTCACAAAAATCCCAGGTTGAGTCAGGGGAGACCTTACCGCTGCTGTTTTCGCTAATATACCGTTGTCAGTGAAGAGTGATGCTTCTTGTATGTTCAATTTGTCCAAAATAACTGCAGCAAACTTGACACCTTGTGCTTCTGCTTGAAGTGGTGAGGTAGTCTGGACTGCAATTGCCGAAATTGTAGCTTCCATCCTGCCTTCATTTTGTTGCATCTGCAAGTGTAATTCAAGACCTATATGTGTACCCCATTTCATGCCAGGCAGGGTTCGGGAAGATCTTGTTTGGAGCCTGAATGCTGCCAGCACCAACTGTAGTTTCCTGCATGAAGTTGCCTTGTCCCTGCGAGTCTGCACAGGAGAAGTATCTTTCCCTTGAAAAAGTTTGTTGCTTAAAGTAGAGCTCTGAATGTTTAAAACAACAGAGGCTAGAGAATCAGAGTTTTGCATTAAGAGATCAGTTCTCATATACCAAGGATTTGCAAACCAATCAGCTCTAGCAAAGGGGCAATTGAAAAAATATGCGCAAATCATCCTCTTCGGTAACACATCTTGCGCATAATTTACTTATATATGCTTTGAGTAGTTACCTGCTCTTTTACCCGTTGGAAGCGCTATCCTAAGTAATCTCCAGGTAATGTCATGTTTGAATTCTTGGTGACATACCCTTTGCCTTCCAAATCTGTTTTTAAAGCGTCTCTGTGTTATCAGAGATTGCTCGGGGCTGTGGTTCTCCTTCATGTTGCATTTCCTATAAACGAAGCTTGTATGCACTCTTGGAAGAGAATTTCCCTGTGGGTATTGGTTTCTAACAAAAGGGATCATTGTCATCTGAGTGAATAATTGGAACCTGCTTTATAAGTTGTATCAACATAATTGGAATCTGTGGTTCTCCTTCATTGTCACCCCCCCTCCCTTCCCCTCACGCCGCCTCCCCTGAGGCGACTCGAGGGCGAACCCTAGACCGCCTCTGCGCTCCCCCTCCCTCTCCTCTCCCTCCGCCGCCGCATGAGGTGCTCGCCGGCGCGGCCGCACGACACCTATGAAGGGGGCGGCGGAGATCTGGCGGCTCCGTGTTCGCGGAGGGCCCCGGCATTCAGAGCGGCGGCTCCGATGGGTGGTGGCCGGCGTGGCCGGTGCGGCGGGCTGCGCTGGTGGGTGCTGATGGGCTGCCTCCCTGGCCGTGCAGGCGCTGTCGTTGCGGCGCCCCCGCGTGGGTGGCTCTGCCGTCCTGGAGAAGCTCCGTCCCCGGCCTCGATCTGCTCCGATTTGCGCGTGCTTCAGCCCTTGGTGGCTTCGGTCGTCGTGGACGGGCGGATCTGGTGGTTGGGCGTGATTCCGGGGGAAACCCCTTGCCGGCGCGGCGGCCTCACCAAAGGCGACGTGTTTGGGCGCCGTGTTCCTTCGTGGAGGCTTTGGTGTGGTACTCCCCTCCTACCTCCCCTCGAGCACAGGTGAAGACCCGCCCTCCCCTTGCTTGGACGAAGGCGCCATCCGGTGCCGTGCTCCTTCTTGAAGGCGTCTTCCGGGGATTTGCTTGTGTGGGGTGGAGCTACTGGTGGTGCGGTGATGGTGTGAGGCGGCCTGGTCTTCTCTGTGGCTGCCGTCGTGGTCTCGGTTGCGGTGCTCCAATCCCTGACCACTGCGTGGCATTGCCCTTTCGGCCTTCTCCGTGGATCTTCGCCTTCGTTCGACGACTCGCGACCGACGCCCTGTCTTGCGGCTTCCGGCGACGGTGCTCTTTGGTCTGTTTCCGGTGCGTGCGGGTCTGCCTATGCTGTTTCCCTCTGGTGGCTCGGCACTCTGGTCTGAGTTCATGTGGAACCACTCTGTTGGCCACCGGTGCGGCTCCCGTCGAGCCCGGATGAAAGGGTTGTGGCCCTTTGCGGTGGCAGAGACAGATCTTGTGATGCTCTTGTCTGCCCGTGCGATTGCAGCCAGCGGCACGATACAAGCCCGCAGTTGCCGTCCTCCTATAGCCTTAGATTGGTTTGCTTGTTTGGCATTGCGGTGGTCGTTGGCAACACTGTTTGTTGTTGCCTTTGAGTCGTTCCTCTCAGCACTATGTATCTCTGCTCCGCTTTGTTTCCTTTTCTATGTAATGTGGTTTGTGTAATCCTGACTGGTTGATGGCTTTGTTAATTCAAAGCCGGGCTAGGTTCGAGCCCTTTCTCGGGCTCGGCCAATGCCTTTTCTCTAAAACAAAGAGTCAATAAGGTGAACATTCCCATTTTTTTATTAGGGATCCAAAGTCTTTTACCAGAGCAAGGTAAACAAAAATACTATCAGATAACAAGGTGATGATAAATATAGTCCCAAGAGTTATCCCATGGAGAGCGAGAAATGCTGCCTTGTATGAGTTGGTACGAAGAGTTGCTAAATAAGATAGGTCTGACTTTTAGAATGGATGACTAAAATGCAGGTTTAGGGACATTGAATTGAGCTCTCCAGAAAGAGGTATCCGGGAAACACTTGGATTGCAAGACTTTGTATATATGTTTGTTTGGTCACGGCAAGACTGGCACACCAAGACCGTGAAAGAGGAGGTGCCGCCGGCGTTCCTGAAGACACGCGGGCGCCTCCTTCACTACCTTGATGGCTGCGGCGGTGGCTGCTCCTCCTCGCGGAGCACTGTAACACCGGAGAAGAGGATGGCCGGGCATGCGACAAGGTGGGAGTGGCGCAACGCGACGCGCCGCTTGCCGTTCGACAAATCTGTCGCGGCGCTGGCATGGCTCCTCATGGACCCTGACCTTGCGGAGGTCTGGGCTCGCGACCGGTCGATGACCAACACGGATATGTTTGTCGTCCGTTGCGCCACCTCGATGGGGAGCTCACCAAGATCGATAAGGAGTGGTCGGTTAACGACACCTTCATCGTTGCCGGCAGGGGCAAGGCTAGGGCACCCCAGCCAGGGTCATCGTTGCCCGAGACGTTCCTCCACACGACATAGGAGGAAGTGGAGCGGCTCCTCCATGAGCACGAGATGCTGGCCGGGCAGGGCTGCCGCGCCCCCACGTCCTTCTGCCGCTGAATGGACCAACTATTGTCCGCTTTATGTAAATTATGTCAGAACTTAAATTAATTATGTCATGTTTGCAAGAATTCCGTCTGAATGTGTTTTCAGTATGGTTAGATGTTTATGGCTATCGTTGGATGGTCACCCCCCTTATTAATCTGCGAACGCGTTCATGGATAAATACCATGTCCATTTTAGAGGATATCATTCAAGATGCCCTTACACGGTTTTGGAGATGTTTTTTTATATGTTTTGCCAACGAGTGCTTGTTTATCTTGTAAGGTTTGAATAAATGGTTCCAGTTTCAGTTGCATTGTTTCTACGAACAAACATGAACTCCGCAACTTCATCATTCTACATGATGCAATATTGGAATTGACAAGGGTAAGGGTGCAATTGCCGAGATGCAGTTTTTCTTTGCGGAAGTCATAGGGTATTTATTCCAAGGTAATAGAATTACAATCTTCAGCGACTAGCTCACTGATGCACGGAGGGGGGTGGTTTAACCAACACGCAGTGTTGTCCACATTCCGACCGAATGTTGTAAACAATGTGTAACCCTATTTTGAGAGGGATAAATTTTTACCGGAACAACTACCCTAGTATCCATGGAGCGTTTGATCTCCGAAATCAGATGTCCATATACCTACCTATCCAGGGAATTATCCGTGAACGCCTTGAGCGCAATCGTGCAATCGGACTGAAGCTGTATATAGGTAAAGTTAACAGGATCGTTCTAGTGCCAAAGAGAGCCCTTGAAATTTGGTGCTCAGAAAAGAACATGATGCGATTGATAACAATGTGGTTGACGGCGTGCTTTCAATCTGCATCACGTGTTTCAACTCATTGTCTCAATTGTATGGTGTGTTCCCACTGTGTGTTGTTGCTAGTACTAAGTCACACTCATACTGCAATATTATTGCGAAACACAAGTGTCACAACTCAGAAGGAAAGCCAATTCTCCAGTGGTCGTAGTAGTCTTTTTCCTGCTCCTCGTCATCGACATCGAAACCACAAGGAAAGGGAAAGGAAACAAACCCGAACAAGATCGGCGAAGGCCCAGAGTAGGTGACACGTCATGGGTACCAGCTTCGACGTACACGTAAACACAGTACGATCAACAAAGAGAATTAAACGCGACGACAAGTCCACGACACACGGCGAAGACCCCTAGTAGAACCCCTGCACCGGCCACCGGCGGTCGGGGTCCGGCAGCCACGACGACCGCTTCTTCTTCTGCTGCTGCCGCTGCTTGTCCTTCCTCCCCTCCTCAGGGCCGTCGCCGCCGACGTCTCCCCCCTCCTTCTCGCCGTCGGAGCTCTTGGAGTCGCCGTCCGACGAGCCGCCGCAGTACCCGCCGGCGACCACGGCCCCTGCCGAAGACCTGTGCATCGACCGCACGTACTGGAGCAGCCTCCACGCCGCCGGCTTCTGCTGCTGCTGCTCCCGCGGCGGGGGCGTCAGGGACGCGCTCCGCTTGGACGGAGGAGGCGGGTCCTCGGCGCCGGCTGGGTCGTCGTCCGGGAGGCGCGCGGACTGGGACAGCCGCTCGTAATCCGGCAGCGGCACGATCTCCTCCTCCTCCGACGCGCACTCCCCGTCCGCGCCGGCCTTACCGCCGCCGACGCTGTCCATGAGCAGCAGCTGGTGGTGGCTCTTCGACCTCGGCTTCTGCCGCCGCGCGCCACACCTCTTGCCTCCGCTGCCGTAGTGGCTCCCCTCCTCCTCCTCCTCCTCCTCCGAGTGATCCAGGATGCCCATATTTAACGCGCTCGCGCTCCCGCAGTCGCGCCACAAATTAAACCATGCACGATGCACCCCTCCCTCTCTCCCTCTATCTCGATCTCGCGCCGGGATTATAAACTTTGCGCCGAGCGAGAAGGCCTATGGGCAAGCCTCGACATGGGATGAAGCAGAGCTAGCGGGCGACAGGCGATAGGGAGTTTTCAATGCGGGGTGGAGAAGTTTGACAAGAGTTGCTCGAGGCCGCCAATGGCGATGGCGAGTAGGGAATTGGGAATGGAATTATTGCCTTTGACTATGGGGGGTCGGGTCACGTCGTCGAGGGCCACGCGCTTGCCTCGCTCGAGGATGAGGTCCCGCCGCGGCGCACGGTTATTGCGTCCGACGCATGACGCGGATATTTGGCGGCTCTCCCACCGGAGGCGCATCTTTCATTCTTCGCTCAATTTCTTTAGGGTCCCGATACTTGTCACACGTGTGGAGTATCGGGTGATTGTGCCGCACGTCCTGTGTGGCACGGAGACGACCCCGCCCACACGACCGCGTCCGGGCGCGCGCAGCCACAGCCCGCACGTCCGGTGCAGCGCGATCGCCCCGCACGAGCACGTTCGGGCGAGCGAGCACGCGGCCCGCACGACCCGTCTCGGCCGTCGCCCCTCCCCGCCTGCGAGCCACACGCCCCGCGTGTCAGTAACCACGCTCCCGCCGCGATTGCCATGGTCCGGACCCTCTTCAGTTGCCATGTTGCTGAACTGTAGTTGCCATGTTGCTGAAGTACAGTTGTCATATCGGACAACTACAGTTGCCATGGTTGCTCAATTGCAGTTGCCATCTTAGGTCAAGTGCCGGATGCCATTTTTGGGCAACTACAGCTGTTGCCATGTTGGACAACTACAGTTATCATGATTTGGAAAACTTTAAGAGTTGCCACATACTAACACTGGACAGTTGCCATGTAGCACTAAAAAACATGGCAAAAACATGTTGCGGGTAAAAAAAGAGTTGCCATGTATCCTGCAAAACACATGGCAACTGATGGCTTTTGGTGTGTGGGAGAGGAGACAGGCATGTGGGTGACGGTGGTATCTTTAGGAGTTGCCACCTACTAACACTAGACAGTTGCCATGTAACGCTACAAAACAGACATGGCAACAATAACATGTTCGGGTAAAAAGAGAGTTGCCATATGCTTACAATCACAAATAAGGCAGTTGCCATGTATCCTTCAAAAACATGGCAAATGACAGCTTGGGTGTGGGAGGGTGGGAGAATGGCAGTCGTGGGAGATGGGGAACAGGAGTGGTGCGTGGCGTGCGGGCGCGACAACAGTTCCATCGCACGTCCCGACTGACGAACGTTGGCCGCGGAGAGAAAACAGGCGTGTGAGCGAACTCCCCCACATGCCACACACACAAGTTGTCCTACGTGGCACACAAAATCAGCCTTTTTATGCCAAGATTCGTGCAAAAGACGTTGGATGGTGATGGAGGCGTGTGGGCAAGTTGGCTAACGCCCACACGTGTGGGCGTTAACATTTCTGTTTCTTTAACCGGTCTACTAAAAATCGGTTGACTGAGATCTAACGAGTCTCAGTCGACCATGCAGTATTTTATGCAATCGTTTGCAACATTTTCTTTCTATCGGTTGCAACATCTGTCTTGCTGGTTGTAGCATTTTGTCCTTCATTGGTTGTAGCACGTCCTTCATTGGTTGTAGCACGTCATCTCACTGGTTGCAACATCCTTCAGTGACGGTTGTAGCATTTCAGTTAGAACAGTTGCAACATTTTTATTGTTGCTTGCAATACCTTCGCAACATTTTTTTGTCGCCGCTTGTAGCATCCAATCATGCCGCTTGTAGCAAAGAAACCACGCTGACGTCACTTGACCGAGACTTCGTTCAGTCTCAATTGACTGAGTTCTAGATACACCCTTTTTCTAAACATCGATTGTTGCTTTTAACCTTTTCTCGAACGATCTTCTACGGAGGAGGCGTATAGTGGAACCGGCCGTCTGTTTTCCATTTGGCGTTAGCCTTCAGGCTGTTTTTTTAGCTGTCCGATCGTCCACGAATCTTAGCATCACTTGCGTCCTCATTCCACTTTCTTACCTGTGTTCATGTGAGTTGCTGATTGGGTTGGTGGGGTGGCCTACATGATCTGTACGTCGACCCATTCCACCACGTGATTCTTTTCAGGGTGGTCTGTGGTCCATGTCGTTGCGTAGCGGAAGAATGGAGGGGAGGTAGAGGGATGTGATGGAGGAAGGTGCTCATGTCAGCGAGGGCTAGCGAGAGGTCATGGAGCATGGCCAGCTGCCCACGAGAAGCTCTGAGAGAGGGATGCTGACTGCCAGGGAGCAACGGGAGAAAGGAGAGAGGGCACTACATGGAGGAGGTCGACAGAGGCGCCCTGTCGGGCTCGTCACCAGGAAGCACTTGCAGGGGAGGCCGGAAGCAGCCGTCTTCGCTAGACAGGTGGAAGGTACACTAAGCTTTTCCCCATCTCCCCCTTTACCTGGGGGGAGGGCGTGCATCGCTCTGCCTTGTTTCATTTTTTCCACTCCCATTGCCCTTAGTTGCTCGGAGGATCGCACACAATGGTGTTGTACATCATTTTACAATTCGAAATTATGCTAAAAACCTCATTTAATCATGCTAAAACTTCTGTGTGAAATTGTTGGAAATATGCCCTAAAGGCAATAATAAAATGATTATTATTATATTTCCTTGTTCATGATAATAATCTATTATTCATGCTATAATTGTGTTATCCGGAAATCGTAATACATGTGTGAATACTGTCGGGTGGTGGGTGCGACATATGCCAACGGATGGCTTATCTGTGTGGGAACCAGTAAAACATCGCCGGTGCCTGGAAACGGGATAAGGCGAAGACATGCACACCGGCGGATCTTACCCAGGTTGGGGGCTCTCCGTGGAGATAATACCCCTACTCCTGCTCTGCGGGGTCTCCGCATGATCACTAGATCAACAAGAAGCTACAAGAGGCTCCTTGAGCTGTTCGGTGGAAGGAGGAAGAAGGGCAAGGCTAGCTCTCTCCTCTCCCTTTAGTGGTGTCTAAAACTAGCTGAGCTCAACCCTTTGCATGGGTGTCCCGAGGGGTTTATATAGGCCTACCCCCGGGGTACAATGGTAATCCGGCTGGGCGTGGGCCCTAGCCGTCAGTGTCTATGACCGCCGGCTTCTTCGCCGATCGCTGGGGCCCACCGACTGGTGGGTCCCGCTGGCTGCCGGCTCATCGGCCGACAAGCCGGTCCCACTGCTTGGGGGTCTTGTCGGGGGCTGGTTACTGTTTCCTCGCCTCTGATAACGAGGGCTTTGTCGAGGTAAGCATGGCTACAGTGCTACCGCCTTGCAGACTCTCACTGTAGCCTTACCTCGTCTTGTCTCCTTAATGGTGCGCACGCCCCGAGGAGGGGAGCAAGCCGGCTATAGGAAGCCGGCCATGCCTCAGGCCGGCTGGGGGAGGCCAGGTCGCCTTCGGGCGTCTCTCTGATCGAAGGGGCCCGCCGCCCATGGGCCGTACTGGCTGCCCGTCGTGGAGAGTGTCATGATCAGCATGGCCGTACTGTAGCCACGCGTGCCCCGGGATTCGGGGGTGGCAGGATCCACTGTTGCCACGCCCCGTCCCATCATCATTATGGGGGGTGCAGACTTTCAGGGCACGGCCCCTGGCCGCCTGCCTGGGGCCGGCCTCTTGGGGTCAATTCTCTTGGGCCGGCTTCTTGGAGTCAGCCCTTCCGTGGCCGGCTTCTTGGAGTCGGCCCTGTCGTGGCGTCCTCCAAGAGAGTTTAGGGCCCGGCCGCCTTCCGGTAGCCGGCCGGAGGAAGGCGGCCCCGCGTCTTGGGTGCTTCAAGCTTGGTTGGCCCGTTGTTTTTTATAAGGGCCAATGAGAGCCGGTTAGGCTACCCGTGGTCATTTACTTCGACAGTAGTCCCCGAAGCTGGTTGGGCTTCGCGACTGAAGGGGGAATCGAGAAACTCGGCCAGCTTCCTATCCCGAAGAGCCGGCAGCTTGGAGCCGGCTTCTCTTATGCGTGCCTTCTCGGCGTAGTTTCCTTGAAAATCTGGAGGCGGGAACCAGCTGGCGCGCATGCCAGGCGGCGGGCTGGCCGCCCGCTGCCTGCGCACCACGTGGCACCCTCCGGCTGGAAGGGCCTGCCAGCCCACGCGTGTGACGGGACGCCGCCGCAGGCCGGGGCCCGCCACTTCCACGCCTCGGCCTGTGCGCGGATCTTCTGTGGCCCGAACCGACCGCACATCTCCCAACGGCGGTTCCCATTTGCCATAAAGGCGCAATAATCGCGGGACATGGGAGAGTGGGCGCAGTTAATCCCACGCCCCCCGTGCCTCGCCTCCTCGGCTTTGCCGCACGAGGCTATAAGTAGGGGCGGGGAGGGAGGAGCGGCGGTTGTTCGCACACTCGCCCTCGCTCCACCATCACCTTCTTCTTCCTCTCCGTCGCCGCAGCGGCTCTCCGCAACGCCACCGTCCCGTCACTTCTCTTTAGTGCGCCGCAATCTTGCCGCCACCGCATCGCGAGTTCTCCGTCACCGCGCTCTCCATCGTCCTTGCATCATCATGGCCCCGACATCGAGCTCCTAGGACGGCTCCAACATCCGCGACGACCACATCGACTTCCTCCGCAAGACGCACCGGTTGCCGAGCGAAGATCTTGTGCGGGTCCGCCTCGCGCTGGCGAGGGAGGTTTCGTCGGCGCCGGAGGAGGGCGAGCGAGTGATCTTCTACTCGCACTGCCTGCGCGGTGTCGGCCTTCCCGCGAGCGGCTTCTTTCGCTCGTTTCTCAATTTCTACCATCTCCAGCCGCACCACCTTACTCCCAACACGGTGGTGCTGCTGTTGGCCTTCGTCACGCTGTGCGAAGGTTTCCTCGGCGTCCTCCCCACCATCGAGCTCTGGGGGGAGTTCTTCCAGTCCAAGCTCGGCACGGTTGTCGTAGGCGTGCCGGCTCCATGCGGCGCCTTCATCGCCATCCGG